CCCCCCCCCCCCCAACTTCGCCCTTTAAATAAACGCGAAAGCATAACCCCCCCACCCCCCCCCAACAAAAGAAAGAAACTAAACCGTCAATACCCTCCCTAACCCTGAACCCTGAACCTTAAAGCCAAAACCCTAGCCCTAAACCCTAAACCCTAAACCCTAAACCCTAAATCCTAAACCCTACATGCGCCCTAAAACGAAACTCGCGGCTTGCCATCCTCCAGGCTCGTCTCCTCGTCGACCTTTGGGCTCCGCAGCTCCTGTTTCGGGTTTAGGGTTTAGGGCTAGGGTTTAGGGTTTCGGGTTTAGGGTTTCGGGTTTAGGGTTTAGGGTTTAGGGTTGAACTGAACTCGGTGCGCTCTCTAAGATAGCGTGTCCAACCCTGAGTGCATCTTCAGGGCTCAGAACACTGAAAGCATTGGGCAGTGTATCCATGAAGATGCTGCATGCATCTTCAAGAGACGTGACTCCAACAGCTTTTCCAAGTCAGTCGATCAGGATCTCATGATCGTCGTTCTTGAAGAGGTTTCTATTGCTCCACTGGTTTTCTGATTGCCAAGACAGCTGCCCTCGTCTGTTCCACAGCTCCGCGCATAATTGCTCTATTGTGAGAGCAAAGTCCTCTCCGAGCTCCTCTTCAGGCTGCCTTCGCCTCCGATCTACGTTGAACTCCTCACAAAGCGACACTATGGCTCGAACCTCATCTAGGCCAGACAATGCGTTGAAGCCCGCGGCGAAGATACTGTGGTTGGAAGCTAGGCTGCTCACAATGCCGCACAGCATGTGCATTCATTTTGCAAAACCCTAAACCCTAAGGCCCTAAACGCCGAACCCTAAACCCTAAACTCCCTAAACCCGAAGCCCTAACAGACCTTTCAGGATAATGCGCACTAGCAGGCTTGTTAGAGCTTCTCGGTTCACAAGATCCAAAGCTGTTAGGGTTTAGGGTTTAGGGTTCAGGGTTTAGGGTTAAGGTTTAGGGGGTTTAGGGCTAGGGTTTAGCGCTGAGTGTTTAGGGTTTGGGGTTTCGGGCTTAGGAAGTTCAGGGTCTAGGGCGTTAGGGTTTAGGGCGTCGGGGTTTAGGGTGTTAGGGTGTTAGGGTTTGGGGTTTAGAGCTTAAAGCTTATAAATTCGAGCTTAGGGGTTAGGGTTCAGGGCTTAGGGGTTCAGGGTTTAGGGCTTTAGAGGTCGGCGATTAGGGCTTAGGGCTCAGGGTTGGGGGTTAGGGCTTGGGGGTTCAGGCTTTAGGGTTTAGGACTTTAGGGCTTAGGATTTGGGGTTCAGGGCTTTAGGGTTTGGGGCCGCGGGTCTAGGGTTGGTTTGGGGCCGCGGGTTTAGGGTTTAGGGTGTGCGGCTTAGGCTTCAGGGCTTCAGTGTGTAGGGTTTAGGGCTTTAGGGTGCTCGGGTTCGGGGTCTAGGGTTTGAGGTTAGGGCTTAGGGTTTAAAGGGAGTAGGCACTTTAGTATGGTTTTGCTTTAGGGTTTAACCCTAAACACCCTAAACCCTTATCGAGCCTACATCCTAAAAAACTCAAACCCCAGACTTTCTAAACCCCAGAACCCTAAACCCTAAGCCTCAAACCTGAGACTCCAAACACCAAGCACTAGACACTCAACCCACAAGTGGTTTAGGGTTTGAGGGTACAGGGCTTAGGGTTTGAAGGGTTAGGGTTTAGGCTGGCTAACCCTAAACCCTAAACCCTAAAACCTAAACCCTAAACCCTAAACCCTAAACCCCAGACCCCCTCAACCCACTGGCACCTCACGAGATCTCTCCGCTACTGGCCTGGGCAGCGGAAGGATGCCCCTTCGGCTGGAGAGGCGGGGGCTAAAGGGTTTGCAGGGCTGTAAGGGTTTTCCAGGGTTTTTCAGGATTTGAAGGAATTCAAGGGTTTTAAGTGGAGGATAGTGGAGGGCTTTCAGGATTAAAAGGCAAGGGCTAGGGTTCAGGGTTTAGGGTTTAGGTTTTAGGGTTTAGGGTTTAGGGGTCCGGAGTTTACAGATTATTGGGTTTAAGGGTTGAAGGATTTGGGGCTTCGGTTCAGGGTCTGGGGGTTAAAGGTAGTCGCCTTTGGGTTTGCTTAGGGTGTAGGGTTTAGGGTTTCTGGTTGCTCCTTGCTGCTGACTACCTTCTTTCGGGAGGCGGATGCTTTTACCAAGGTCACGTTCTGTGATCCAGGTGTACTCGGTCGGTAGTAGCTCTGACAGAACATGCTCTTCAGACTCTTATAGGCCACTGGGCTTGGGGCTTAGGGTTTTTGCGGTTTGGGTTTAGGGCTTAGGGTTGAAGGGCTTGCAGTGTAGTTTCTTACAGCCGTGTGGGTCCTTCATTGTGGATCGATTTTAAAGAACAAGCCCTCATCCTTCAGGAAGGCTCAACCCTAAACCTTAAACCCTAAAGCCTACTTGGAGGTTCATGGTACTCATTAAGCAATTCTGTCTTGACAACCCGCGTATAAGCCCCTTAAGTACCCCAACAGGGTCATGATTGGGATATAAGTACAGTTATAAGTGGGTTACTAAGTACCCATGAACCTCCCAAGTAACCTCTATTTGGGGGTACAAGTACCCATGAACCTCAAGTACCCCTCAAGGGAGCCTCCCCACGTCCACTCCTCAACCTCCAAAACCCCGAAACCCTCATGACTATGGGTTAGGGTTTAGGGTTTAGGGTTTAGGGTTTAAACAACGAGAACAACCTAGGCCCCTGAGCCATGCTGCCCCCGTAAGTGTACGGAAAGTCGTATTTGTGGATTTTCAAGGACTTTCAGGGCCGAAAGGGTCATATTACAGAGGCCCAAATGCATTCCCCAAATGCCCCACAAACCCCAAACCCCAAACCCCAACCCCGAACCCCAAACCCTAAACCCGACCGAAACCCTAAACCCTATTCGGCCCATCTCTGCAACCTCGGAGCATCCCTTTCCGCACTTTTGGGGCCATGATGGTCCACCACGTCTACAGCCCAGCTTCCCCGTGGTCCTGAGGAGCTCAAGCAGGGCAGGGGCAGTGGGGGTTTAGGGTTTAGGGTTTAGGGTTTCGGGGTTTAGGGTTTAAGGGGTTTAGGGTTTAGGGCTCGGGGTTTATACGAGCAGTCATTGCCAGAAGCCTTGTCACCTAAAAACCCTAAACCCTAAACCCTAAACCTTAAACCCTAAACCCTAAACCCTAAACCCTAAACCCTAAACCCTAAACCCTAACAGGGAAGAAGCTGAAGAAAGTGTCTGCGGCTTAACTTTGGGTTTCACATCAACAGCCTAAACCGCAAACCCTGAACCCTAAACCCTGAACCCAACTCCGGCTTAGAGTTCAGGCTCGCCGTGTAGGATATATTCAGCCCAAGGATTTCCCTAAGCCCTAAATCCTAAACCCTAAAACCTAAGCTGTTCTTGAGCCATGGCAGCCGTAAAGGGTTTCGGGCTTAGGGGTTAGGTAAGGTTTAGAAATCCTAACGCCTGAACCCTGAACCAAACTTTAACGTTTCCTAAACCCTAACCCCTACACCCTTGAACTTTGCGCACCAAGTCTCCGTAGTGTGCCGCGCCCGACTCTCACGCTTTGGCGGATAGTGTTGGGCAATGGAAGATGTGCCAGAGCAGGGGACAAGGGGGGTCAGGACGTAAGGTCTTGGGTTAGGGTTGTTGAGACATGGAGTCACAGGGTTCAGTGTTGAATTAGGTTTGTAGGGTGATCGCGTAGTAGGGTTATGTAGGGTTAGAGGATAGCTCGTTAACCCCTCCCCTCCTAGATCACACACCCCTGAAAACCCTGAAAACCCCAAACCCTTAACCCTTAAAGCCATAGCGCGACCGAACCGGAAGGCCCTACTTCCGAGAACCCTTGGCTTTTCTACTGCTTTGAGCGGCGGCTGGCAGATGGGGGGAGGTCGTCAGGGCCCGTGGGCCCCGTTTAGGGCGCTGAGGGAGGGTTTAGGGTTTTGGTTTCAGGGCATAGGGCCGTGGACTTTTGAAAAAAGAGCTATAGGGTTTAGGGCTTCTCAGGCTATAAGCCATGTCCCTCGGCCCGTATTTGCCTAAAACACCAGCACAACTACCACCACCAAAACCCTACAGAATCCTTGAACCACCCCAATGGGTACCCCAACCCTAAACCCTAAACGCTAAACCCTAAACCCTAAGCAGGGTCTAATTCAAACCAGGGGACCCTCACCTTCAGCTTTGCGTTGCAGGGCCGAAAAGACTCAACTAGACCCGGGAGTAACCTAGTAATTCAAAGGGTGCCCTTTTTTGGCTTTAAGGGATTATAAGGGAACCAGTAATGAAAAGGGTGCCCTTTTTGGCTTTAAGGGATTATAAGGGAACCCCAACCCTAAAAAAGGGAAAAGAAGGCCTACTTCCGGTCCTAGTCAACTCCTACACCCCAAACCCTTAAACCATGAGCCATATGAGGGGACCGAGGAAGGCCCAAGTGCCTAAACCCTAAACCCTTAACCCTAAACCCTAAACCCTAAACCCCAAACCCTAAACCCTAAACCCTAAACCCCAAACCCTAAACCCTAAACCCTACATCCCCTATCTCTAAACTTACTGGTGCTTCGTAGGAATGGAGGGATATAGAAGCCCCTTAAAGGTTTATACAGGGGATGTCAGGTACCTACTTCTCTGCTTGCCTAGCAAGGGTTTAGGGTAAAAATCAGTAGGAAAACCCTACTCTTTTCTCACCACTGCAGCCGCGGACCACGCTGCGGCGGACCTTGCTTGGCAAACTGGAAACACTGCTTGACGGCCCCTGAGAATTTCTACAGGGTGAGCTGAGGGTCTAGGGTTTAGGGTTGGGGGGGGGGGGGGGGTTCAGAGGTTTAAGGGTTTGGGGTTTGGGCCTAGGGCTGAGGGTTTAGGAGGTTTAGGGCGTAGGTTGCATGTGCAGTTCCTTACTTTGGGTCGTGGCACCCCCAAAGGGTGGCGATCCCCCTGTCTGCTATCCTAAACCCTAAACCCTAAACCCTAAACCCTGTACCCGGGCTCCCAGCCACCATAGGTGTCAGCCCAGGGTTTGCGACCTCGGCTCTGAAGGAAGCAGCCGGCCCGGGCTTCAACGAGAAGCGTTTTGAGGTTTGTTTGGGGTTTAGGGTTTAGGGTTTAGGGTTTAGGGTTGAGGGTTGAGGGTTGAGGGTTTAGGGTTGAGGGTTGAGGGTTGAGGGTTGAGGGTTTAGGGTTTAGGGTTGAGGGTTGAGGGTTGAGGGTTTAGGGTTTAGTGTTTAGGGTTTAGGGTCTCGAACCCAACCAAAACTTCATTGGCCTCCAGAACCTCACACCCCATTACTTCGCAATCCATAATTCAACCCTAAAAGCCCAAAACCCTATTTAGGGCTTAGGGTTGAAGCCTGAACCCTTAAAGCCCAAAACTTTCCTAAACACCCTGAAGCCCCCCAAGCTTTCAACCCTGCAACGCAGTAAAACCTGTGACCCCCAAATCCCCACACCCTACACCCTACACCCTAAACCCTAAGCCCTAAACCCTAAACCCTAAACCCTAAAAACCCTGAACCCAACGCCCCAGTGAGCCGAGACACCGAAAATCCTGGACGCCACCAATGCGCAAGAGGATTCCTCCCAAGAGTTAACGTTATGGGGTTTAGGGTTTAGGGGTAGAGGATTCCGACCCTAAACCCTAAACCCTGAACACTAAACCCTAAGCCCTAAACCCTAAACCTTAAACCGGCTTCACTGTCATAAAGTACTATATAGCATTCGAGTGTCGCTACCCGAAGGTCAATCCAACCGTCAACTTAAAACTCCACAACCCTTAGGGCTCCTCGTGCAACGGAGCGGCCAAACATAATGCTGGGGCAGGGGGGGGTTTAGGGTTTAGGGTTTAGGGTTTAGGGTTTAGGGTTTAGGGTTTGGGGTTCAGGGGTTCGGTTTTAGGGTTGACGCTTTAGGGTGTCGGCTTCAGGGTTTTGGTGTACCATAGTATGTCCAATGTTAGGTACAGCGGCACAGGTACCTCATTTAAGTATGCATAGGGTGCGCTAGGCAAACCTTGTTTAGGGGGTCGGCATGCTGGGATTTAGGGGTTCCGGGTTAGGGTTGTTTTGTACCCTTTGGTTGGGATTCCTGAGGGGTGATATCAGCTGTTGGGGACGGCTTTATAACACCGGGGATTTAAGGTACTTGATTCCCTCCTTCCCTACTAAGCCCTAACCCCTAAACCCTAAAAACCCTAAACCCTAAGCCCTAAAAACCCAAACCTGAAAACCTAAACCCTAAACCCTAAACCCTCAACCCTAAACCCTAAACCCTAAACCCTAAACCCTACTACGAGCCAGCTTGTCCTGCCAAATCCAGGGCGCCCCGGATGGCTGCCGACTTCGGGGCCCTTAGCCATGGGGGGGTTTAGGGTTTAGGGTTTAGGGTTTGGGGTTTAGGGTTTAGGGTTTAGGGCTCCTCCATTGCTTCGAGTGCACTGCTGCTATCCATGTCTGTGCATTTCCCTGGGCTTCCGCCAAGCTCTGCGAAAAAAAGTCCGCGGCATAGGGCTTGGAGTGTTTAGGGCTTAGGGCTTAGGGCTTAGGGTTTAGGGTTTAGGGTTTAGGGTTTAGGGTTTAGGGTTAGGGTCCTGAACCGTGCAAACTCTACTAAGACCCCAATGTCCTAAACACCCACGGATTTGTGCCCCGTAAACCTGGGAGTCAAGAAATGGCGGGCCCTTCTCTGCCTAAAGGGTGGTGTAGGGGACCGTATGCCGTAAGGCCTACACCCGAAACCCCAAAAAATGTTTTTCGGTTTCGGGTTAGGGTTTAAACCCCAAACCCTAAACCCTAAACCCTAAACTCTAAACCCTAAACCCTAAACCCTAAACCCAATTGGGTTTAGGGCTTAACGTGTATAGGCGTTAGGGGCAAAAGGAAATCAGGGCACTGCTGGGCAGCCTACCCTGCTCAAGGATGCTGGCAATGCTGGGGTTTAGGGTTTAGGGTTTAGGGTTTAGGGTTTAGGGTTTAGGGTTTAGGTTGTAGGGTGAGCGGCCGCACTTTCAGTTCGGCCTTGTTTAGGCGGTTTAGGGGATTTAGGGTTTAGGGGGGTTAGGGGGTTTAGGCTTCAGGGTTTAGGGCTTCGGGATTGGGACCGTTTTTGTTTCGATGCGGCCTCGGTTTACTCCTTGCTCAGGATGCACGATGTCATTAACTAAGTGCATCCTTCCCTAGGGAGAACCTTGCTGAAGCCTCAACCCCTGTAGTGGTGAAACGGGGTCAGGTGCAGGGCCTAAGCCCCAAAAACAGAAGTCCCCTTTTTATGCACATGGACCCTAAACCCTAAACCCTAGACCCTCGACCCTAAACCCTATAAACCCTAAACCCTAAACCCTAAACCCTAAACCCTAAACCCTAAACCCTCGAGGCTTAGGATGTTTTCGAGCTACATTAAGTGGTCGCTAGAGGGTCGCAGAAGGCATTGTCCAGTCGGTCAGGGACGGGAGTCTGGACCTAGGGGGCTTCCTCTCACCCTAAACCCTAAATCCAAAACCCAAACCCCAAAACCCGAAGCCCTAAACCCTAAACCCTAAACCCTAAACCCTAAACCCTAAACCCCCAAACCAGCCACGATTCTCTGCGTCAAAGACGATGCCAGGGGGTAGCCGGGAAGAATCGCGGCGCAACTCCTGAGCCAGGGTTCCCCCCTACACGTTTAGGGTTTAGGGTTTAGGGTTTAGGGTTTAGGGTTTAGGGTTTAGGGTCGATGCCGCCACTTCAGTTCTGGAGGACGGATTGCGGGGGGGAGGGTTGGGGGTTGGGGTTTAGGGTTTAGGGTGTAGGATTTAGGGTTTGGGGTTCAGGGTTTCGGGTTTGGAGTTTGGAGTTTGGGGTTTGACGGTTTGAGGGTTTGAGGCTTTGAGGGTTCGAGGGTTTGAGGGGTTTGAGGGTTTGAGGGTTCGAGGGTTTGAGGGTTTGAGGGTTCGAGGGTTTCAGGGTTTGAGGGTTTGAGGCCTTGAGGGTTTGAGGGTTCGTTTAGGTTCTCAGGTTTGGGCTTTCAGAGTTTCAGGTTCTGGGGTTTCAGGTTTGGGGCTCACGGCTTAGTAGGGTTCAATATATAGGGTTCCGTCGGGCTGAGGGTTTGGGAGGGTTTTGGGTTTAGGGATTTTTGGAGGGCTAGCAGGGTTTGGTGTTGAACAGGCTGTATATCGTTCGGGTTCACGGCTAAGTGGGTTAAGGAGGGTTTGGGGGCCTTGTAGGTTTTAGAAGAGTTTTATAGGGTTAAGTCGGTGTGCGATGGCCTGGGTAGGATTAGCTTCTAGGGTTTAGGATTCAGGGTGGGGCCAAAGTTCGCAACACAAACGGTGTACCCTTAATCCCTTCCCCCTTTTATTAAAGGTACCCCTAATACTAAAAATACTTTCCGGAAAATCCTGCCGAAAGCGAGCCCGCCTTTTAAACCCCATTTCGAATTAGGGGGGTGGTTCAGGCCTCCAAGAAATCCTTCAACACCAATAAAACCCTCAGAGGGTTTAGGGTTGGGGGTCTAGGGTTCAGGGTTTAGGGCTTAGGGTTTAATCAGAGGCCCGTCTTATGACATTTCGATAATAATACCCCCTAATACTAAAAACACATTTCGAGTTTTTAAAGGGGGGGGGGGGGGGGGCTCCCCCCCCGTTTAATATTAGGGGGAAGGGATTAGCACTCAACCCTGCTAAGCGTGCTGAATACCATTCAGGCCCTGAACTTCAGGGTTTAGGGTTTAGGGTTCAGGGTTTAGGTTTACTAGCTGGACCCTCACCCCAAAGCCTACTAAGCCCAACACCGTAACCTCTACTAAGCCCCCCAAATCCTAAGCCCTGCCAAACCGTGAACCTTACCCAACCCCCTACACGCTAAACGGCCCTAAACCCTGATCCCTGTAACCCTAAACCCTAAACCCTAAACCCTAAACCTATACCTTGCCGTGAGCCGAAACCGAACCTTGCCACACTCGCCTGAACCCTGCACCAAACCCTCAGATGACCCTAAGCCCAACAAACTAAACCCTTGAACCCTGGAGGCTGGACCCTGAACCATAAGCCCGAAAAAACCGAAAAGCTCTAACCCAACCCTAAATTCCTAAACCCTACATCCTAAACCCTAAACCTTATAAACCCTAAACCCTAACCACCCCCCCAATCCGTCCTCCAGAACTGACGTAGCGGCATCGACTGCAGCCTGCGGGGTTTAGGGTTTAGGGTTTAGGGTTATTAGTGTACTTCAGCGCAGCGCGACTTGGGATTTGCTTTAGGGCTTAGAGGGTGGGGTTTAGGGTTTAGGGTTTAGGGTTTAGAGGGGTTTGGACTTCAACAGAAGGATTCGGGTTTTGGGTCGACGAAGCTCGGGGGGTCCAAGGATTCTAAGACTTAGGGTTCCCTAAACCCTAAACCCTAAACCCTAAACCCTAAACCCCAAACCCCATAAAACTCGAAACCCAAGCGGCCGCCCCGGCAAAGCTCGTGGCCGGGGATGCGGGCGTTGCCTCCGGGGCCAGGGATGCTGCCACGGCCTTGGCTCGCATATTATTTCTATAGAACATAATATAATACAATACAATATAATATGAAATAATATATATAATATATATAATATATGTAATATATATAATATAAATATATAAATAAATAATATATATATATATATATATATATATACATACGTACGTACGTACATACATGCATGCATACATGCGTACAGACATATATGTATACTGCTTGGATTTAGGCTTTCGTGTTTTAGCACTTAGGTTTCCGACAAATCTACGTATGTGCATATATATATATATGTATATATGTATGTGTGTGTGCTATAGCAGTACCTAGATCATTTCTGCGACTTAGGGTGTATATATGTTCTTTGTTTCCAGGGGAATGGGGACAGGGTGAGGGGGGGCTTAAGTTGCACCTTGCTAGTGCTTCTCCAGGTGTTATGACTTTTTGGGCTCCAGGTAGGGTTGAGGGTTTAGGGTTGGTACAATACTTGACAGGCCAAGGGTTTAGGGTTTAGGGTTTAGGGTTTAGGGTTCCGGGGAATGTCTTTTAGCTTCGGACAATGGATTTTAGGATTTTGGGGAAAAGGGTTCATGCTGTAGGGTTTAGTGTGAGGGTTTCAGATAACGACGTTGGCAATTTCAAAGATTTGATTGGGGCCTAGGGTTTAGGGTTGTAGGGTTTAGGGGTGTCCAGGCCCTTCATCCTCAAAAATGCATTCGCTGTCTGGGTTTGGGGCGTAGGATTTCAGGGTCTAGGTTTATGGGTGAAGTGTTTTTTGGGTTTGGGGCTTAGGGCTTGAGGGTCCACAGGGGTTTTAGGGCATATGGCCGAGGGATTCCGGGCTTAAGAATGAATCTTTGCAAGGGCTCAATGGCTTCCTAGCCCAGACAATTAGGGCGTCGGGTTTAGGGTTTAGGGTTAAGGGCAACCCTAAACTCGACTTCAGGTCAGCTGCGGTCAAGCAGTCTGCAACTGCACACATCACAGAGGCCACCGTGCCGCTGACATTGCTCGTCCTGCCAGCGACGACAGCCCTGCATGACACCCCCAGGATCCTATGGAGATCCACTCCTCCAGGCCCGTTCCGGCACATTGGGGTAAAGCACCTGAAAACATGGGCTACAGACCCAACGCTTAATTTCAAGAGATTGCAGATTGAGTCTGGGGTCTGTAGTCAATCTAAACCCTGAAACCCTAAACCCTAAACCCTAACCGCTAACCCCTAACCCCTAAACCCTAAACCCTAACCGCTAACCCCAAACCCCTAAACCCTAAACCCTACACCCTAGACCTTAAACCCTAAACCCTAAACCCTAAACCCTAAACCCTAAACCCTAAACCCTGCAGGCTTGCTCCTGGCACTCTCGCGGAGCCGCGAGGCCAGGTGGAGCTCAGACCTCTGAATTAGGGTTTGGGGTTTAGGGTTTAGTTTTTGGGCTATTTCACTGGAATGGAGCTACGGGGTTTCGGGCCTGCTTACCTGAGTAGGCAGTATTTGCGTGGCGAAGAAACAGGGAGTACAAAGTTGGGCAGCAGCGACACCAAGTCCAGAATAGGGTTTGGGGTTTGGGGTTTAGGGTTTTGGGTTTAGGGTTTAGGGTTTAGGGTCTAGGGTTTAGGTTTTCCAGATCCAAGCTGCAACCCTCCACCAAGAAAGACTGCATTGGCGCGAGCCGTCTCCCAGAGGGCATGGAAGGCCTGGAGGGAACCTAAACCCCAAACCCCCAAACCCTAAACCCTAAACCCTAAGCCCTAAGCCCTAAGCCCTAAGCCCTAAACCCTAAACCCTAAACCCTAAACCCTAAACCCTAAACCCTAAACCCTAAACCCTAAACCAGACCCAGGAGTAACCTAGGAATAAGAAGGGTAGCTTACCCTTTTTGATTTTAAGGGGCTTATGAGGGACCCCCCAACTCTAAAAACCCAAACCCTAAACCCTAAACCCTAAACCCTGAACCCTAAACCCTAAACCCTTTGCATAAATAGAAGTAGGGAGGGCTTACAAGCCCTGAGGGCTGGTGAGTCGCTGTGCATGCCTTTAGGCTCCCCGAACATCACAAGAACAACAGGCACTAAGATGCCTTAGGGTTCGGGCTTTAGGGTTTAGGGTTTAGGGTTTCGGGCTTAGGGTTTAGGGTTTCGGGTTTAGGGTTTCGGGCTTAGGCTTCAGAGAACTTGGACCTTGTACATTCCTCAAGGCTGGCATCGTCACTTGAAGCCTCGAAAGTGAAAGCACGCGCCGTGAAACCTACAATGGCTGGTGGAGTTCAGAACAACTACCCTAAACTCTAAACCCTAAACCCTAAACCCTTTGCATAAATAGAAGTCAAGTTTACCAAGCTCTTTCCACCTACTCCCTAGGTAGAAGAAGAGGAGCTGCTTCATGGTGCAGGCCACAAGAAGGAGAGGGGTTGAGGGTTTAGGGTTTAGGGTTGATGGGTTGTGGTAGGGTCTATACAGGGCCTTTGCAGTGCATTGTATGAGCTTATGCATGGGTCTACCTTCAACCCTAAACCCTAAACCCTAAACCCTAAACCCTAAACCCTAGGAAGCTCCAGGCCCTGTAGATTTATGGGGTTGCCATCAGTGCGCTCGGGTTCTTGGCTGCTCAGAGGTTCGGCCGAGAGTGTGGGTTCAGGGTTTAGGTGTTAGGGTTTAGGGCTTACGGTTTCGGGTTTAAAGGTTCTTCTCATCCTGTTCAAAGCCTGCCCAAAGACTCAAGTGTAGTTCCTGGTTTGGGGAAGCACGCAACTTACCCCTAACTAATGTGACAGAGATAACAGCAGCAACAAACACGGAACATACACCATGCGAGCCTTGGGGGCATGCCTAGAAAGCCCAGAACCCTAAATCCTACCCTAAACCCCCTAAACCCCCTAAACCCCCTAAACCCCCTAAACCCCCTAAACCCCCTAAACCCCCTAAACCCCCTAAACCCCCTAAACCCCTAAACCCCCTAAAAACCCCTAAACCCCCTAAACCCCCTAAACCCCCTAAACCCCCTAAACCCCCTAAACCCCCTAAACGCTAACTCCAAAAACCCAAAGCCCTAATCCTGGCCACAGGTGGCCTGTGGGAGACAGTGCCTGGGCAGACAGGGTCTTGGGATAGGTTTAAGGGTTTAGGGGTCTCTTCCTATGGCCCTTTAATTGGGGGGTACCCAGAAAAAAAAAAAACATAACAAAGCCAAGGGCACCTACTTCAGAACCCTTGAAAGAAGAGAGGGGACCACACCCTCCACCCTCCACCCTCCACCCTAAACCCTAAACCCTAACCCTAAACCCTAAACCCTAGACCCTAAACCTAAACCGTGTAAAACCCCTTAGGATTGCCAAGTGCCCAGGTTGTGAAACCCGGGTGCCCTTGGGGGGAGGGCGGGGGAGCCCTAAGGGCAATTTAGGGCTTAGGGTTTAGGGTTTAGGGTTTAGGGTTTAGTGCCTAGGGTTTGAGATCTTGACTTGGTCAGCGGTGTGCAGGGGCGGTCGGGCTTGCGGGCTGTTACACTAAACCAAACAAACAACCCTAAGCCTGAACCCCAAACCACAAGCTGAAAATTTAGGGTTTAGGGTTTTAGGGTTTAGGGTTTAGGGTTTAGGGTTTAGGGTTTAGGGACAGCGTCCCCTCAACGGAATCCAATCTATACTCCTACACCTTAGTGTCGTTCACGACTCACTGACAGGGAAAGACAGAGAATCAGGCTGCTCTTACAAAGAACCGCAACTCATTAACCCTACCTACACCCTCAACTAAGTTCCCTTAAAATGTAGCCCGTCATATATCAACTCAGGGCATATTTGAGGACAATGGGAACCCTGAACCCTAAACCCTAATTCAAGCCTAAACCCGAGACGAGGTTCATGGCAGCTACAGCCCAGTTACTGTACTGATAACCCTCCTATAGGCCCTTTAAGTGCCCCAAGATGGCCCTAAACCCCAAACCCTAAACCCTAAACCCAAAGCCGGAATCGGGCCCCCTGGCTGGTTCGAGCACCTTGCCCTCATTGTGCAGCTCACGCTTGATCAGCGCCACGACGATGGAGCGCATTCCCGCTTTATATTTGTCGTGCGGGGTCATTAGTCCGGTGTCCTGGCCCAAAGCCACGTGCCTGAGTACGCGGTTGACCGCCGCGCGCGCGCGCGAGGTTTTCCTCGCCCAGCGTGGTGATGAACAAGCCTTTCGTGGAAGCACCCACAAGAAGGCCGTCGAACCCTGCACTCTTCGTCAAGTCCAGTTGTGAGATGACTTTGTAGGCTTCCTTGATCAGGCCTGCCTGCGTCATCTCCGGAAACCCTATAAACCCAAACCGCTGAAAGCCACCCCTTCGGTAGTCTGATCTGCACAGCCACGTTGCTTCAGCTCATTGAGTGCGTGCTCGTCCGGGGCGCCCACCACGAGCGTGCTGATGGACAGCGTGGTATGGTTGGCCTCGTTGCGGAAGTTTAGGGTTTCGGGTTTAGGGTTTAGAGTTTCGGGTTTGGGTTTAGGGTCCAGGTTCATATGCTTGGACTTGGCTGGGGAGCCTAAACGGGCTTTGGGGGTCCACAGGCCGCCATGCATATAGCTGTCTTATGTACGTAGTCATACTTGGGCCTGAAAAGGGTTCCTATATAGTAGCTTTAAGGCCCACTTTACGGCCCAAAGTATGTATACCATAATAGGTACATGGACCCCTGGGGTGTTTAGGGTTAAACCGTAAACCTTGAATCCGTGACATTCCATCCCATAAGCTTCACAAGCATATGTCAGGAATGCAACTTCTACACCCACCAGCTACAGTTCCATTGACCCTGTTCTATGTCCGTTTAAGCCCACAAGGCCAGAAACCCTAAAAAGGGTTTAGGGTGTACGCCCTGATCCCTGAACCCGAAACCCCAAACCCAAAACCCTAAACCCCCAAGCCTGAACTCTTAAAAGGGCTTAGGGTGTACGCCCTGAAACCTGAACCCTGAACCCTAAACCCTAAACCCCAAACCCTAAACCCCAAAACCTGAACTCTTCAACCTGAAAGCGGAACGAGGTCAGTGACAGCTTCTAGCGACTCCAGGCCGATGCAGGCATTGAGGGTCTAGCGTCTAGGGTTTAGGGTTTAGGGTTAGGGTATAGGCTTTAGGCATTAGGCATTAGGCTTTAGGCTTTAGGGTTTAGGGTTTAGGGTTTAGGGTTTGGGGTTTAGGGTTTGGGGTTTAGGGTTTAGGGTTTAGGGTTTAGGGTTTAGACCTGCAGTGGTCTCGGCCCTGTGTCTCCCCTGCAGCTGAAGGAGCCGGTGGCGCCATGGTGATGTAGTTGCGAACCTCACTATGGGTTTAGGGTTTAGGGTTTAGGGTGTAGGGTTTAGGGTTTAGGGTTTAGGGTTCAGGGTTAGACTAACAGTCCTTAATAGGGGTTATAGTACCCCGCCATTATAATCCCCATTAAGTGGTGTTAGTATCAGGGGGAGCATCCCAAGTTTTGGGGCTTTAGGGATTTAGGACTGTTTAGGTTGGGATGTAAGCTTTTAGGGTATTAGGGATTTGGGCTTTTAGGGGGTTCGGGTTTTAGGGAATTCGGGTTTTAGAATTTCAGGGGCCTAGTAGGGTTTCAGGGATTTAGGGCCTCATGGCTTAGGAATTAGCGTTTAGGGATGAGGCAGATTCAAAAACCATATGAATCTCTAACCCAAACCGCAATCCAAAACCCAAAAACAAAACAATCCCTAAACCATAAGCCCTAGACCCTGAACCCATAGCACGATTGCTACAGTACAACCTAAGCCCAAAAAAAACATCTATGCCTCCACCTACCAGAGAGAGAGAAGAGAGAGAGAGAGAGAGGTGCCCTATAGAAACCCTTGTGAAGGGTATAAATAGGGCGATAAAAAGGGTGCCTAAACCCTTTACCTTAAACCCTTAACCCTAAACCCTAAACCCCAATTTCTTGTGATTCTTGAAGTCCTTCAGACGCCATTTTTGCAACTGCAATCCACCACTATCAGAAAGACATTGCAATTTAGATGGGCTTTAGCAAGGGTGATTTTATATTCGCTCCTGCCTTAAGGTCCCCTAATGCTCGCCATGCTCTGTCCAGCGCTTGAAGCACCATTCTCAAAGCTCCGCCTTGTCCTTCGCAGCCAAAGCCGAAGAGCAATGCGACTGCGTCACCAAGGCAGCGATGTCGGAAACGTCCGTATTCGTCATGCGGAACCTGTTCTCAGCTTCGTGAGAAAGCCGTGAACTCCGAGCAACACGGCCAGCAAGTCCACGGCGACGTCGCCTCTTGTCTGTTTTGGACTTAAGTCGCCGTTAAATTAGCCATTAAATTCGCCTTATTGGTCACAAAAATTGATATTGTTACTATATTTAATGTTAAGATTAGCAACAATCATAAGTACAATGTCCATGGCAAGGGGCCTCCTCGTAAAGGGTATAAAGAGTAGGGAGATCTAGGGTCCCTAAATCCTAAATCCTAAATCCTAAATCCTAAACCCTAAACCCTAAACCCCCCCCCACTGAGAGCCAGGATGTCTAAATCAGTCCAGAACCCTGTAAAAAAAAAAAAAACCCAAGCGCCGACTCAACCCCCCAAGCGCCTAACAAAACCCAAACATGCCCAAAACCCTATAGAGCCCTGTTGGGGTTTATCGCGTAGGGTTTAGGGTTTAGGGTTTAGGGTTTAGGGTTTAGGGTTTAGGGTTTAGGGTTTAGGCTTTCGGGTTTAGGGGTAGACCCTAATCCAGCATATCCCACGGCGAAGGAGCTCCGAGATTCCTCTGCGCCAAGGGACCGACCTTGGGGGCAGCGAGGCGGAGATTCTTGGTGAGCCCTGGGGGGTTTTAAGGGTTTTTAGGGGTTTAGGGGTTTAGGGGTTTAGGGTTTTAGGGTTTTAGGGTTTAGGGTTTAGGGTTTAGGGTTTAGGGTTTAGGGTTTAGGGTTTAGGGTTTAGGGTTCCGGGTTAAGGGTTGTCATGGGTTCCCCTACTACTACTGCCCCCCCTCCATAAGTTTATTTAAGGGGTGAACCTAGGGAGGGTGGTATAGAGGGGGGGGTTCCCCTGGAGAGTTTCGAGAGTTTAGGGCGTTTAGGATTTAGAGTGTAGGCTTCGACGGTGCCCTAAAAAGGAATTCCAACAGGAACTCCCCTCCCCACCCCATTTTGGGAACCCCGACCAAGAATCAAGGGCAACCCATAGTCTTAGGGTTTAGGGTTTAGGGTATAGGGTTTAGGGTTTAGGGTGTAGGGTTTAGGGTTTAGGGCTTACGGTTTAGGGTATCTCCTAAACCCACACAGAACCACACCCTGAGGCCCTAACAGCCTAAACCACACGGGGAGCAGCCCATAGGTATGCACGAGCATTGGGACAGTGGGCAGTGTCGCCAAAGGGTAGGGTTGAGCGTTGAGGGTTTCGGGTTTAGGGGATGGTAGATATAGCTTTGATAGGGTTTAGGGTTTAGGGTTCAGGGTTCAGGGTTTGAGGGTTGAGGGTTAGGGTTTAGCCCTAACCCTAACCCCCGAACCCTAAACCCTACTCCCCCAAGGCACCTAGGGCTCGGACCCAACCTTTCGCCTTGTGCCAGGAAGGGAGCGCGGCCAAAGAGGAGACGGGCGAGGCGCCGGAAAGGCGCCTCTCACAGCAAAGGAGGGTTTAGGGTTCGGTGTTTAGGGTTTGGGGCTATGATTTATGGTTTAATGGCCCCTACAGGCTTCAAGTAGGGTCCTGGAAACTGAAGGGTGCTACTTTCGGGGTCCTGCGAGGCTCCCTACACCCCAAACTTGAGGAATGTTTAGGGTTTGGGGTTTAGGGTTTAGGGTTTGTATGCAGCTTGCCACTTGCCAATCACCAGAAGTCAAAGTCGCAGCATGACACGTCGGATCTAATCTTCCGCTGGATGTCTCATTTCCAGGGTTTAAGGTTTAGGGTTTAAGGTTTAGGGTTTAAGGTTTAAGGTTTAGGGCGTCGCCTGTTCCACTTGTGTAGTGTACTGACTATAAGCTTCACGAGGTGCTAGGCATGATGGCCTCCTTGGCCCTCCTCCTGGGCCTCCTGGCCACCGGCGCACGGCTGCCGCGACGCGCGGGCCGGGAGGAGCGCCCGGCAAGCGGCGCACGTGCCGCAACGCCGGCCGCACCGCGCGGGCGTGCCTGGCGCCATCGAGCCTGCAGCCGGCGTCGCGGGCGCGGAGCACCCGCCTGGGGTGCTCGTGCCTGAGCCCCCGAGGCGCGGCAAGAACCGCCCGTCCGGGCCCCGGGGCGGCAGGCCCCGAACCCCTCGGACTGCCGCTGCCGTGAACGTAGCTGCATGCTCAACCAACTGTGGTCCTGCGGCAGTGGCACCACATGCCTGACTGAAAGGCTGCTGCAGTTGCTGATGGATTCATCAAGCAGGTACGTAGCGTTAGATGCCTGCCTGTGGATCGGCCACGCGATCGTAAACTGGTTGTATGCGCATGCTTGGCCGGAGCCACCGTAGCCAAAGCCAAGTCCCCAAGCTGCAGGCAGACTTCGGGAGAGTTTTAGGGTTTTGGGGCTTGGGGTTTTATTTTGGGATTGTGCGGGTTTAGAGAGTATTCAGAGGGTTGAGAAGGTTGAATGGGGGTTTAGGGCGTTTAGGGTGTGTTTAGGGTTTATTTAGGTGGTGTTTTTTTGTAGGGTTCAGGGGGGTTTAGGGGTTTAGGGCGTTTTAGGGTTTAGGGGGTTTAGGAGTAACAGTATTAATAGGGGGTTTAGGGGGTGTTTAGGGGGCTATGGCTTTTTAGGGCTTATAGGCTTACGGGGCTTACAGGGTTTGAGTTGAGAACTAACTACGACCCTATAAACCCTCAACCCGACAACACTAAGATATACTCGCGATTTAGGGATATCAAGCTCACTAGATCGGTGGGGCTTAAGAAAGTTTAGGGTTTAGGGTTTAAGTGTTTCGGTTTGCTGACAAAAGAAGCGGGAGTTAGGGGTTAGGGACTTTCTGATCACTGGTATAGGATTTGATTGGGGCTCATGGGTTCTGAAAGGGCGTTCAGGGTGTGTAGGGTTGCATCTGTGCTTTTTTGTTCGGATTTAGGTGTTTGCGTGCTGTGTGATGTATATAGGTGTGCGGGGCTAGAGGTTCTGCGCTGCAGGATTTCGTGCTTAACGTATAGGATTCCTGGGTTTCGGGTTGAGGACTCGCTGCAAAAAACCTGTATCTTTGGGGCATTTGTCTTGCGGGGCACTCCTAACTCTGAAGCCTGTCGACTTCAACCCCTGAGCCAGAAATTAGGGTTTAGGGTTCACCCTAAACCCTAAACCACCCTAAACCCTAAACCCTAAACCCTAAACCCTAAACCCTACGCCCTGAAGGGTTCGGGCTCTTCACCTCACGAAGTCGATGTGTCGAATGGAGAGACGCCATAGCACGCTGACGCCTGGCGAAGTGGCGGGCTGAACGCCCAATGTTTCAAGGTCCACAACCCTAGGGTTTAGGGTTTAGGGTTTAGGGTTTAGGGTTTAGGGTTTAGGGTTTAGGGTTTAGGGTTTAGGGTTTAGGGTTTAGGGTTTAGGGTTTAGGGTTTAGGGTTTAGGGCACCAAGAGTAACCTAGGAATATAAGGGGTGCCAAACCTAAGTCAGCCAAGCCCCGAAACCCTAAGCCCAAAACCCTAAACCCAAAACGCCAAACCCTCAACCCTACGCATAGGACGCTTCTGGGATATCGTGTGAAGGACATTAAACGTGTCCCAAAGTTTTCTCCGCGCTTCTCTTCTCGGATCCGGGTCGTCAACGTTGCTAAAACCCTTAACCCCAAACCCTGAACCCTAAACCCCAAACCAACCCTAAAGCCTAAACCCTAAACCCTAAACCCTAATTAATTAAACTCCAAATCCCCAAACCCTAAGCAGGCCTACAGGCCCCTCCAAAGAAAAACATTTGGGGTTGAGGAGAATACAGGGTGGCCTTACGAGAGAAAGTGACCCTAAAATTGACCCCCAAAAAGGTGCTGTACCCAAATGTCGGAAACACCCCCCCCCCCCGTGGGCACCCGCTCCTTTGTTTAGGGCTTAGGGTTTAGGGTTTAGGGTTTAGGGTGTAGGTCTCTGTGGGCGACTGCCATGAGCTCCAAACTCCCCCATGCTCGGTTCCGAAGCCCTGCTCGGGGTTTGGGGGGTTTATTTCATTGCGTTTCATTTTTCTTTGTTGTAATTATTATTATTATTATGGTTATTATTAGTAGTATTCGTATGATTATTATTCTTCTTACTATATTATTATGATGTTACTATTTTTTTTTTTTTTTTTTTTTTTTTGGGGGGGGGGTGGGGACTTTAGGGTTCAGGGTTTAGGGTTCAGAAGGTTTAGGGTGTACTTTTGAGGGGTTTAGTGTGCAGGGTGGCTTACAGGCATAAGGTTCAGGCTTCTGAAAACCTGCTTTTTGGGATTTGTTTCATGCACTCGATCCTTGAAGCGGCCGGCCCCACCTCGGGCATGCAAGTAGTCAATGAGCCAGGGGTCCACGAGCTTCCTAAGCCAAGTGGTTCGGTGAACACAGGTGCAAGAAGCTAAGGCCTAACCCTAAACCCTAAACCCTAAACCCTGAACCCTAAACTTCCTAAATACCCCTAAGCCCCAGAAGCCTCATTGGAACGAAGACGCTTTGAGGTTGGATTGGCGTGGGGTTTTCGGGTTTAAGGAAGTACGTGAGGGCCAAGGGAGTAACGGCAGAGAGCTGTTGGGTCTTCAACTAACCACCCTTGAGAATCGCCTGATGCTTCGAATCAATAGGGTTTGGGTTGAGGGTTTCGGGTTTAGGGTTTAGGGTTCAGGGTTTAGGGTTAAACTCTAAACCCTAAACCCTAAACCTTAAACACCGAGCCACTGACAGGCCAGGACTTGGATGCCAGCTGCGATCAGGCCTCGGCGGCTCATCGTTGAGGCCCGAAGCAAACCCTGAACCCTAAACCCTAAACTTACCCTAAACCGTAAACCCTAGGACCCTAAAACCCCAAGCCCTAAACCCCAAACCCTAAACCCTAAACCCTCAACCCTCAACCCTAAACCCCAAACCCTAAGCCCTAAACCCCAAACCCCTCAACCCTAAACCGCCCCAAAGTCTGCCGGGCGGCTGTCTGCCAGCTTCTTAAACTGCGCGATCTCCCAGCTCCGCAGGGAAGCTCCAGCCTTGGGGTTTAGGGTTTAGGGTTTAGGGTTTAGGGTTTAGGGTTTAGGGTT